AGATATTAGGCTCTGTTGAATCTTCCTTTTTGCTTTTTTCTCACTGGGATTATAGGGAGAAAATTTAGGGGAAAGGCTTGTGCTTGGAAATGCTGAAACACACACGCATGCACACAAACAGACAGACCCCCGATCTAGTGAATTGCCCTAAGAAATCACACCAGAATTTCTTTCATGGAAAGCCCGTGGTCTTTCCGGGATGGTCAACCTGATCTGCTTCCAGGATTGTGCTAAAAATTGAGTTCATTTTTTTTTTTGACAACTTTCTTAGTTTAATTAGCTGACGCCAAAGCTACAGAAAAACTGAGACGGAATGATAAAAAAAAAAAAAGGAAACTCGTGAGAAATAAAGTCCCTTTATCAGATTTTCCGTGCAGGAATGGGGTGTATACTGTATGCATGTAAAGTTAGTAAGGCTTAGAGTCCACTGAGGCATGCTCAGCCTTTGTGCAAATGTAATTTTAAAGGGTTGGGGAGAAGAAGCGCACCTTCTCTTGAGTATCGTTGCTTAAAAATCCCCACTTTCTCAGTAAGGCAGAAAGTCTGTAAACCATCGTGGAAAAGCATATCACAATTTTAAAAAAACAGGAAAGAGGATTCCTGATATCACAAAAATATGTATAGGTAGTCCTTGGCTAACGTTCACAATTGAGCCCAAAATTTCAGCCTGTATGGTACTGCAGCCTTCGGTGGTGTTTTATATCATGATAATCTCGATAACATATCTAAAATAAAACACATCTTGACATCTCATTTTTCCTGTTTGTCGCATAAGGCAAATTTGGTTTCTTTCTCTTCCCGAATATATGATTTGCAGTTGGCCTGTTCTTTTTTGCTCTTCATATTCCTTTGCTTCTTCCACCCTTCCTTCTGGATTATTGTGATGCTCTTGGCCTCTTCTACACACACACACACACACACACACACACATACACACACACAACCACACACACATTGCACAAGATGCTAGCAACCACCCACATGCAAAAAGTTTCTCTGCGGCCTTCCTGTTTACTCCAGGTCCAGCCCAGTTGCCTGCAGCCTATAAATCTCTCTGCACGCAGAGAAATCTGTAAATATTTAAAATTGGGTTAGCCATATTGCAAAGGCCCCCACTTTTGGCAGTGCAGAGAGAGAAGAATCACAGGGGGTGGGAAAGGAGGAGTGTCCTGTGGGGAAGGGAAAGGCCCATTTGCCTCCTATCTATGAGGGATCCAAAGGGACACGCTTTAGGGATCCCTGACCTTTTAAGGCAAGAATAGTTTCAGCAATCCTCAGGGATATTAGTGCTGGCTGGAGGAAGCACGTTGTCTTCCTTGTCGTTCTTGGTCTTGCAAGGATTAAATTGCACCAGTTCAGTTACAAGACATTAGCAAGGGCTTTCCATGGACCCTCTGGATCTCACTTTGGGTAGAACCTTCAACAACATCTTGAACATGAGAGAGACACTAGAAATACCAGAAACATGGGGGGTTTTCACCCGTAAGTCCTCTTTGAAGGATTAGTGAGGTGCTCTTGGATCAGACGGGACCCCTGACAGCTGTATAGACAATGCTGATGGTTTCATTTTCCATCAGTAATCCATAACTCTTCCAAGGAGGCTCTTACGCTCTCCTTGATCTCAGCAATGTACCTTGTCCTCTATCTCCCCTTCTGCTTCCCTCAACCTTGCTACTTACCTTGATGTTTGTAGTTGCTTTTCTAGTCCATCATCTGTCACAACTCTTGTCCAAAATAGGTCCGCGGGGGTTCTCTGGTGGTCGTAAGTGAGAACGAGTCATAAGTCACTTTCAGTGCTTTTGTAACTTGAATGGACATTAAACAAACTGTTGTAAGTTGAGGACTGCCCACATGAGCGTATCCATTTATCAAATGCAGAGTCTCTCTAGTGGTGACTTCAGGGATAGGTCCATGCATTTTCCTTAGTGGTAGTCTTCTGCAGTGTTTCTCAATGGTGGCAACTTTAAGCTGCATGGACTTCAACTCCCAGAATTCCCCTGCTAGCATGGCTGGCTGGCTGGCTGTTGAATTCTGGAAGTTGAAGTCCATATAGCTTAAAGTTGTCGAAGCTGAGAAACATTAGACTATTGCCTTCTTCTGATTTTATTTTTCAACTTTCCTGGTGACCTCCGATATGTGCAAAACAGCCACTTTGCTGAGCTTTTTAACATGAGCCAAGTTCCAAGAAATGCTTCTATTTATTCCATTTTTTGTTGCTGTTGATTTCCTTATTTCTGGCTTTTGTGTGTTGTCTAATTTTTTTTTATACTTGTTTGCTTAGAAAGTGTGACTTAATAAAGGACCACTTGTCCATCAAAAATACCTACTCAGAGCAGGGTTGGGGGGGAGAGATTGGCTGTGATTCGGTTGCATTCCCAATTGATCAATCAGCCTGGACATCTGTTATGGAGGTGGGGGGGGGGAAGAAACAGAGAAACTTTTTTCTATATTGTACATTCACTGCACTTCATGCTTCCTGACATATGTCAGATGGAATTAGGTTGCTGCAAATTCTTTCCAGTCGAAGGAACCAAGGGGTCAGTTGGAAAAGCCGGACTTTCGTTTCCAGGTTTGGGGTTAGCCCCTCCCAGCTAAATAATGCCTTATTAGCAAGCTCCAAAACATGCATTTAGATTGCAGAATTACACACTCTGTGTAAAAAGAGGAGAGGTGCGTTTATTTGTCTGTGTGTGCGTGCACCAAAGTTACAACTTCTTGCAAAGCCTCATCTCAACTCTGAGCTGCAAATATTCTCCTTTATTGGTTGCTAGACAAGTGACGGTAAGCCAAGGACTCCTTGGAGGGGGGGGTGGAAAAGGCAGAGCTTAGCGCTGTCTGTTGAAATTTGTTTAATTGCACCCAGGCTTCCCTTGCAGTGCCGGTTTGTGGGTAGCTCTGGAGAACATTTGCAGAGAAGATTGGCAGTCATTGAATATGATTCCTCTCCCTTCCTGGAAATACCAGAGTTGTATTGAAGGCTAAGCTCCAGATTTCCACAGCAGTGTGTGTAACGCAATATTTCCTCCCCGCAGTCTTCCACCTACCGTGGGTGTCAGGGGCTACAGGCTGTAGCAGGAAAGTACTGTAGAAACATGACAAGGATACGTTGTCCTAGATCAGGGGTCTTCAAACTTGGCCCTTTTATGACTTGTGGACTTCCACTCCCAGAATTCCTCCTGGCTGAGGAATTCTGGGAGTGGAAGTCCACAAGTCATAAAAGGGCCAAGTCTGAAGACCCCTGTCGTAGATGGAGAGACTTGTGTGAAAACTTGCAAGCATAGGACTTGATGGCACTCCACATTGCTTTTCAGCTTAGCTCACAGGAGGAGCTTTCTGGGTCTTTGTGTGAGTGTGTGCGTGGCAGCTCTTGGCCTCCTGCGTCTTCACAAATGCAGCCTGCCAGATCTCAGCTGTGAGGCGTCCAGATGTTTCCTCTTTTGTGTGGCTCCTCGTTGCGATTCATGGGAACAGAGACAGTGACTCAGTCATGGGACACGAATGTCTGGAAGGGACGATTCATCTCCAGGAAGGGCTTAGTCAACCTTTAGGACGGTTACTAGATTTCGAATCCGTGGCCTGTTAGCCATGTGCCTGGGATTCTGCAGGATTTGTGAGGGACGACAGCTGAGAAAGGACACGTCATAACACAACGCAAGGGTGTCTCACGATGGTGTCTTGTGACATTTCAGGGACTCCCCGACCTACCTTGAGATTTCTTTCCTCGCCTGCAGTCTTGCAAAGCCAAGATAGTTCTCTGCTTAAGAAGAAGCTGGAGGAAGAAACAGGGGGGGGGGAACAGACTGACAGTTCCAGAGACTTTGCTTCAGTTTAATTGGTGTTTTGCAATCCCGTTGGGGTTTTTTATTAAAAAAATATAATTTGGTGATTTGCATAGTATTTGATTGTGTCTTTCAGTGATGGAAATTCAGGAAAGGCAAAATTAGATTTAGTTTTCTTTTCTTCCATCACAGTCCCTCCCTCTCCCTCCCTCCCTCCTTCCTTCCTTCCTTCCTTCCTTCCTTCCTTCCTTCCTTCCTTCCTTCCTTCCTTCCTCTTAACCATCATCCTTCTTTCCTTCCTTCCTTCCTACCTTCCTTCCTTTCTTCCACTTAACCATCATCCATCCTTCCTTCCTTCCTTCCTCTTATCCATCATCCTTCCTTCTTTCCTTCCTTCCTTCCTTCCTACCTACCTTCCTTCCTCTTAACCATCATCCTTCCTTCTTTCCTTCCTTCCTCTTATCCATCATCCTTCCTTCTTTCCTTCCTTCCTTCCTTCCTTCCTTCCTTCCTCTTAACCATCATCCATCCTTCCTTCCTTCCTTCCTCTTATCCATCATCCTTCCTTCTTTCCTTCCTTCCTCTTATCCATCATCCTTCCTTCTTTCCTTCCTTCCTTCCTTCCTACCTTCCTTCCTTCCTCTTAACCATCATCCTTCCTTCTTTTCTTCCTTCCTCTTATCCATCATCCTTCCTTCTTTCCTTCCTTCCTTTTTGCTTCTAATCCAAGAAGCTTCTTCAATTCTGACTGGATGGTGAGGGAACTGAAGAAGCTTCTTGGATGAGAAGCAAAATATCTTCAAAGAAAAACAAGAAAGTCCAGTTGCCTCGTGGAAAAGTATCTTTCGGATAACTATGACCTGGATGACTGAGAATCTCCATAGACCTTTCCTCCCTCCCTCCCTCCCTCCCTCCCTCCCTTTCATTTAGCAGTAACTTGTCCTGGTCCTCTATGAGCTACTTCCTGTCACAGGTAGACTTCTCTTTGCCGGGAAGCCCAAAAGGAAGAAGAATCAGCTGCCAACGTCCTCGTAGGCTCTAGTTAGCTGCCAAGGTTGGTAGTTGGGTTTCCGGGATAGGTTCGCCACCTGGTATTCTTCAATGTTTTACGTCGTGGTCCAAATTTCAACATCGGCTCCACTGCCATGACGGAAAGACCTTGAGACAGGTCAAAGCGCTGGGCTGTCTGCCAAATCAAAAGAAACATTTCTTCCCTCACAGGAGGTGAAGATATTCCGAGCCCTGATACTTGGGGAACTGGAAAGGGGACAGAGTCAGTTCCAAGCTCTTTGCTTCATCACCAGGCTGCAGCGCAACGAGATCATCCCCAGCGAATCCATGGCCAAACTGAGACAGGTAAGCCAGAGGAAAGCTCATCCGCGTCGCAGCTAGGATGAGATTTAACTGTAAGCCACAGTACTGCAGGCCACTTTAAGCTGACTGTGTTCAGCAGGTCAGCGGTTCAAATCTCACCGGCTCAAGGTTGACTCAGCCTTCCATCCTTCCGGGGTAGGTAAAATGAGGACCCAGATTGTTGGGGGCAATGTAAATATATATATACATTGCTTACTGGTGTACACCGCTTAGAGAGTGCTTGCACTTAAAGTGGCATATAAGTCTCATAAATAAATAAATAAATAAATAAATCTCTTGTGATTCTTTGGAGAACTGAGTCAGTTTTCTGCAGAAGGCAAGGCATGCCAAGAGGTCTCCAGGCCTGGCTGTTGGGGTCATTTCCTTTTTTTATATTTATGATAAATCAGCCTAGTTATTAATATCGGTGGTGAGAATATGCAAGAATAGGGGCCCCCTGGTGGATCCCAGAGCAAATGCTTGACTAACACTCTTCTTTTTAGAAAAAAAAAAATGTTTAAGTTGACGTTGGATGTCCCTTTGACTGTTCCTGTCATATTTAAAATACATCTTGTGCTTCCAAAGGTAAAAAAAAAAAAAAAAATCCTTTGGGAGGCTGCCGCCTTCTGTGCGAAATTTCCCGGAATGATTTGCAAAGTTGCATCACCTCACTGTCAGTGCAGGAAACGCTGCAGCGGCAAAACAGCCTCTGTAAAGAGACCCACTCTAGGAAGAGGGGGCCCTGGGGGGGGGCCTTGAAAGAATCGTAGCCGTCTTGCGCTTCTTCAAATGAAGGTTCACCTCCGTTCTTTCTTAAACAGTTTGGCCATTCTTTCCCCTTTGTTGTTGTTGTTGTTGTTAATTGCGAAGTCGTGTCCGACCCATCACGACCCCATGGACAACGTTCCTCCAGGTCTTCCTGTCCTCTACCATCTTCTGGAGTCCATTTAAGCTCACGCCTCCTGCTTCAGTGACTCCATCCAGCCCCCTCATTCTCTGTCGTCCCCTTCTTCTATTGCCCTCAATCTTTCCCAGCATCAGGCTCTTCTCCGGTGAGTCCTTCCTTCTCATTAGGTGGCCAAAGTATTTGAGTTTCAACTTCAGGATCTGGCCTTCTAAAGAGCAGTTGGGGTTGATCTCTTCTAGGACTGACCGGTTGATCTCTTCTAGGACTGACTTTCCCCTAGTTTTTCTATTTGGAAGTCCTGCGAAATGGACAGGGCAATGAAGGAACTGATCCAGAATTCTGTAGTCAAGAGAGGAGCCCCAATCCCTAGTCATCTGGTGACAGGGAAAAGAGAGGAAAGTAGTAGTAGTAGTAGTAGTAGTAGCAGCAGCAGCAGCAGCAGCAGCAGCAGTAGTAATAATAGAGTTGGAAGGGACCTTGGAGGTCTTATAGCAGTGATGGTGAACCTTTTAGAGACCGAGTGCCCAAAAACTACCCCCCACCCTCCCCCGAACTGCCCGCCTACAGGGCCACCCACTGCCTCCACGGTCCACCACAGAACACCCAGGCAGCCTAGCAGTGCCATGGCAGCCATGCCCTCCGCCCGCACCCCACAGCATTGACTGCACGCGACGGGTGCGAGGGCAAAGTCTTGTCCCCGCTGCCCAGCTGCCATGTCCTTGGCTGCGCTGCTCCACACGAGCTGTGCTCAGGGGTGACTCTTCTCCAGGGGGGCTGCTGGTGAGGGGGCTGTGGGGGGAGGCGGGTCTAGGGCAATGGCGTGCATGCCCACAGAGAGGGCTCTGAGTGCCGCCTCTGGCATGCATGCCATAGGTTCACCACCACTGTCTTATAGCCCACCCCCCTGCCCAAGCAGGAAATCCTATACCATTCCAGACAAATGGCTGTCCAATCTTTTCTTTAAAACCTCCAGTGTTGGAGCATTCACCGCTTCTGGAGGTAAGTTGTTCCACTGGTTAATTGTCCACATTGTCAGGAAATTTCTCCTTGGTTCTAGGTTGCTTCAATCAAGATCAGATTGAAGAGAATAATTGTAGCTCACGGTTGGACTGTGGGATCCTTGGTGATCTCTGAGCTTGTTTTTCTGAAGATGTTTCATAACCCAACTAGGTAACGTCATCAGTGCTAAAAGGGAGTGGGGTTTGTCTCTGTCCCCTCCGCTCTAGCACTGATGATGTCACCTAGTTGGGTAATGAGACATCTGCAAGAAAACAATCACGCTCAGAAAGCACCAAGGACCCCACATCTAGATCAGAGCTAGGGATGGCTCAAAGCAGCGATTGAGTTTAAAATCAATATCAGGAATGGAAATGGTGATGTTCCCCCATTTTTTTCCCTTGCCAGAAAAACCCACAGACAGTGCGGCAGGCGGAGGAGGTTCGTGCGCTCGAGCATCTCAGCATGGATATAGCTGTCAATTTCAGCAAAGGGGGCCAGCTTAGCTCTCACATCTACAACATCTGTTCAGAGGCCAAGGAGACCATCTACACGCGAGAAGAAGATGTGAAGTTCTGGATGGAGAAAGGTAGGAAGCACTTTAGCCATCAGGGGACGGAGCTATCTTGTAATGCCCCTCATGCGGGGATTGTCCTAGCTGACAATCAAATACTTCCATTTTCCCAAATGGAAACAAATATTGCTTTTATAGGCATGGAAAATAGAAGAGGAATGTCAGCTGAAGAGTTAGGATGGAAGGGCTTATTCAAAACTTTCCTGGAAATAGATAAGCTTTCCTTAAGGATTAGGTGTGCAAAATATTCCATTGTGGAGCAATCTGACTGTAAAACAGACCATTCTGAATGTTTCGCTAGTAGAAACAGACCTTCTGTCCATTCAAGGCTGAACCGCTCCAGAATACTATTGCTGGTCCATTTTGAGGATGGAACAGCCTAGGTTTGGAGCGAGATGTTCTGCAGTTCAGACTGGCGTGGTTCTGACAGACAGAGATGAATAAAGCAGAACTCCGAGGCTTGGGAATTCCTCAAAGAACATGTTTATTAGGTTCATAGTATCAGCTCAGTCAAAAGTGAAACCAAGTCTGAATACACAAATAACAATTGCCCAAATACAAAGTTTAACGTCTCACCCACAAAACTATGCAAGCAACTACGTTCCCCAATATACTCATTTGGCGGGCTTTTTTAATGCAATGCCCAGTCCCTGGTCATAGGAACAGTAGATGACCTTGGTTCCCATGGGACACAATATTATTTTGATTAACGAAGCACCTGGGCAAGCCCCCCTTCCTCCGTTCAATGTGGCAACCTAGAATGAGAAGAGAAAAATGGCTGCAGTCATGCTCATTGTAGAGCTGACACAGACATTTTGCCCACAATTAGTAGTGAGAGAAGAGAGGTCCTTGCTGAAGGACCTTTGCCGCTTCTGCAGGAGAAGGGCAGAGTTGTTAATGAGAAAAGGAGGACCTTTGGTGGAAGATGACAAAGGAGGAAGGACTTTAACTAGGGGAAGTGACTTTCTTTTTCCTCTTCTTCTGCCTGTCTCTCCTGCAGGGGTGGATGGCTCCATGTTTGAGGTCCTGCCTCAGTCTGCCGACTTGCCTGATCTGCAACATTGTCGGGTCTGTGTAGATCGCTGGAAACCTTGCATCTGCAGCTATGCCTTGAGCATTGAGTGGTACCCCTGCATGCTCAAATATTGCAAGAGCCGAGACGCAGCGGGAAAGGCAACCTCCTACAAGTGTGGCATCCGCAGCTGCCAGAAGGCCTACATTTTTGATTACTACGTGCCCCAGAAGCAGCTCTGCCTGTGGGATGAAGAGACTTAGCAGGACACCCGAGTAGCCATCTTTTTTTTCCAGACTGTGAGGACTTGTCTTCTACCTTCCTTCCTGGAGCTCTGGGTAGGACTACCAAGATGGCTGCCTGGGCCTGAAAAGAAGAAGGGGCAGGGCATGGAGGGAGGGAGGGAGGGAGGGAGGGAGGGAGAACCCTGTGAGATGCCTCCTAAGCATGTTTTTGGGAGTAACTCTCTCCATCTTCTCCTGTAGAAAGGGCCACCTTCAGATTTACAGGCAGAGATTCCAGTCAACGTAATGTTGTCAAAGATGAGGAACATCAGAACAAGGGCTGTTGGCCCTCTTGACTTTTGAAGCTTCTTGACAGCAATGAGATCTGTGCCTGCTTTTTTTTTTTAAAAAAAAAATGAAGACAGGGAGGATGTCCTTCCTGGACAACCTCCCAGAAAGGATTAGACACCAGGTAGGTAGCAGAATGCCTTTGTGGATAGAGGATCTTCTGGACAAAGCTTGTGAGCTTCCAAAATGTCCTACAGTTGCTACCTGGAGCCACCCAAAGGAGGAAACATAAAGCCATGATGACATTGGAACCTGCAAGGACATCACACTGATATCCCAGATATTCTCTACACCATCTTATGCAAGAATAAGAGATTATTTGAGAACGCTGTAGGATGGCTGCTCTCCTGCAACCAACTGTCAGTTACCACCGTACCATGTGCTCTCAGCGACCAACACCCTGTGGATAACGCCATCCCTGGCCAGCTCTGACGATGGCAGTTTGCCAAAATGCCTCCGATATATATGCTGCAAAATCATCCAGGTGGGCCCCCAGGTGAGGGTACCCAGGGCCCAGCTCTTGATCTTGATTGACTCCTTAATGCTGGAGCAGGTGAGAACATAGATCTCTGGCCCCTTTTTTCCTCATCGCTCTGCCTTCATAAGGGATTGCACCCACCTCGCTTCCAGGGACTGAAGATTGCAGACAATCAGACCCCATTTAAAGAGAGTCCAATAGCCTTTCCTGGGCTGGAGCTCCCTGTGTGCCTTTTCTCCTGATGAGAAAGTCAAATGCTGTTTTACTTTCTAATCTGTTTCTGTACCTCCTCTCCCACAAAATTGTGATTGGACAGAGCAATGCAGTGTGTGTGTCTCTCTGTGTGTCTCTGTGTGTGTGTGTGTGAGAGAGAGGGAGAGAGAGAAAGAGAGAGAGAAATAATGAATGAATATAAAACTAAGGGGAGCCATAATAATGCAAAATATGAATGCCCCAAATGTTAGAGAAAAACAGCAGAATATTTGGGTTACAGAAATGGAGCACATACCCAGATATGAAGTGGGAAAGAAGCAGAAGTGTGATGTTGCGTACAGTCAGTCCACACCTGGCACTTTGCCCCTCAGTTAAGACTTGAAGCAGCATCCTTTGAAGACTCGTAGAAGAAGCTGTGATACAAACGCACACAAACACACCGTAGCAGCAATGCTACAAGCTTTGTGGGGGGTTTTCCTACCTTCCCAACCATCTCCCTGCCTGTATTGGTGCTATCACCAAATTGAGAAAAATGGTGGCAAACTGGAACATCTGGATTGTGTTTCTACAACACAATAATAATCTAGGCTTGTGTCTTTTGCCAGTCATTGTGTTGTGGGAACACAGCCAAGCATGAAGTTCACATTGAGGTTAAGGCCTTGCATTGGGTTTTTTTTTGTTTGTGCCCCCTTTGGCTGACTTGTGGTTAGTGTATTGTGGAGCCCATCAATTGAGGTGGTTAGTTTTGCAAAGAAAGACAGTGAAATGTAACAGAAAGTTGCTGTTTCCCAGGTTCCCACACCTTTGGATGGGCGGAAATTCAAGATGGCCCGTTCTTGTCACAATAAGTTTGCAGTGATGCAGAGAGCGTTCCCTGTTGAATTTCTGCCTGCCTTGCAGTTGCTGCTGCTTCTTCTTTTAAAAAGGGGATTTATTGCAGATCAGCTGTAGGTCTGTTATGCATCCTTAACTTCTTTCCCTTTCTGCAGGCTACCTTCCCTCTGTAATCTGGGCACTTCAGACCGTTGACTTTCAGGCCTTAAGAATTCTATTTTAAAAGATAATGTTTATCTGTCTATTTCCTAGAATTGTGTGAGTGTCAGAGAGAGTGAAATGTGCAGCTGTGATTCGTGTTTTTGATTGGAGTTCCTTTGGCACTCTTAAAAATGACCCCGGGAAATGAAATAAATGTAAACTTGAATGAAAGGTGTGTGGGTTTTTTTCAAACAAATTATTTATGATATGTAAGCTGAATAAACTGATTTTGAAAAAAAATATCTTTACGCAGTTTATGGGTTTGACAGAGGATTTCACTAACATTGCCCAGAGCTCTGAAATGTGCATTTCTGACTGTGATTCGTTCACTGTTTTTATAGCTATATGTCAGCATGCATAGGAAATCAAGCATCACTTTTATTAGTGCTAAGAATGTGCCATATTTACCTTATTTCTTACAAATGAGGAGTACTGGAGAAACTCAACTTATATGTCTCACTAAGAAACTGACTTTGTCTATGTCTCCAAAGAGTGCAGAGAAAAAGCAACAAAGATGATTAGGGGACTAGAGGCTAAAACATGTGAAAAAGGTTGCTGGAACTGGGTATGTCTAGTTTAATAAATAAAAGGACGAGGGGGGACATGATACCAGTGTTCCAGTATCTCAGGGGCTGCCACAAAATAGAGGGAGTCAAGCTATTCTCCAAAGCACCTGAAGGCAGGACAAGAAGCAACGGGTGGAAACTCATCAATGAGAGAAGTAACCTAGAACTAAGGAGAAATTTCCTGACAGTCAGAACAATTAATCAGTGGAACAACCTGCCCCAAGAAGTTGTGAATGCTCCAGCACTGGAAGTTTTTAAGAAGAAACTGGACAGCCATTTGTCTGAATGGTTCCTGCTTGAGCAGGGGGTTGGACTAGAAGACCTCCGAGGTCCTTTCCAACTTTGTTATTCTGTAATTCTTTGATTAGCATAAGTTTATGTTTTTTAATGACAGTTGCAGCACTCAGGACGGGGGTCATGTAATCACCAATTAAACCTTCCCAAGGGGCTTCCAATAAGCAAAATCAATGGGGGAAACTGTAGTTGCTTAATGACCATATGTTTCACTTAAGAACTGCAAATATTATCTTAACTCTGTCCGAAAAAGGGTGTAAAATTGAGCCTGTCTCACATATCAACCGCCCTGCTTAGTAACTGAAATTTTGATTCCAAAAGTCACAATCCAAAAACTACCTATAGACCTATGGAAACATGCATTTCAATCTATTATTTTGCCCTGACAGACCCATATCAATGTTTTCCCACTTCTCTTAACTCATAAAATTCTCACTTCTTTGGGATAACAAAAACACGAGTGGATCGTGCTGTTTTGATTTTTAAAATTGGTTTTACGCATGTTAATACCCTGATCATTTCAAAAAAGGCCGAACTAAGCTGGTTCAGAAAGAACTACAAAGTGGAAGGATTATTATACCAAAAATCCTTTGCCAGTGCAGATATCAGAATGCAAGGAAAGTGCTTAAACACAGAGCTGGCTTTATAGCTCACTAATTCTCCTTTATTTCTGTTAGAGGAAATTAAGTAGACTTCTTTCATTATGCAACAGACTAGATACAGCTTTAATTCTGACTTGGTCCATGGGTTTCTTTCTTTCAACAGTTGCTGTTTAAGGCTAGAAATGAGGGTGTTTTTCACTAGAATTCCTGTTTTCCGGTGGAGTTTATAGATGTTGTGGTTGGCAAGCATTGGACTGGGGAAGGCAAAAATGTGGGCTTCTTGTATAAAAAACTGAGTTTCCTCCAGAGCTTTGTGGTGCAATCTTTCCCACCACGAAAGAAAATCAGAACACTGAGAGCTAGTTCCTTGCCAACTTCATTCCTCCCTACTAGAATATTAACTTTCAGTTTTTCTTTTCAAAGAAGGAATTCAGTTGGAAAGGAACAAGGGGTCTTGCATTGATTTATTGACAAAGTGTCTAAATTATAGTATTTCTCAACCTCAGCTGGTTTAAGACATGTGGACTTTGATTCCCAGGATGGCTGGCTGGCTGGGGGATTCTGGGAACTGAAATCCACCTGTCTGAAAGTGACCAAACACTGACTTATAGGCTTGCTCATAAGGCCCTATTTCTCACTGCACCATCCACACACTCCTGCTGTATAGCCTCATGGGCTTCAAATACATCTGCATTTCAAAAAGGAAAAAAACCTTCCGTAGTTTTTGTCTTGAAAACATTTTGCTTCTCATCCAAGAAGAACTGAAGAAGCTTCTCAGATGAGAAGCGAAACGTTTTTGAGAAAAGAAAAAACACTATGGAAGTCTGATCATCTTTTGAAAAGCATCTTTGGGACGCTGCCACGAGGCCTTCTCAAGAATCTTGCAAGTACGGGTAGTCCTCACCACAACTAAGCCCAACATTTCTGCCGCTAAGGGAAACATTTGTTGAGTGAGGTTCGCCTCATTTTACAACCTTTCTTCCTACCGTTGTTAAGTGAATCACTGCGGCTGTTAGTCACCCGGTTGTTAAGTGAATCTGGCTTCCTCCATGGACGTTGCTTGTCAGAAAGTCACAAAAGGGGATCACGTGACCCCGGAACTCTGCAACGGTCATAAATAGGAGTCAGTTGACCTGTGTCTGAATTTTGATCACATGACCTTGGGGATGCCTCAACAGTCGTAAGTGTGAAAAACGGATGTAAGTCACTGTTTTCAATGACATTGTAACTTCAAATGGTCACTAAATGACTTAAGTTGAGGACTACCTGTATGGTAGAAACACGGGTGTCTTTTGCAACGGGAAAAAAAATACCATACAATGCACCATTTTTTTCCCCAAGCCTCATTTGAATGGCCTTTTTGACCTGGCTGGGGTCAGTTCAATGTCACAGATAATGCCATACTGTCGTAAATGAATTGCTCCTTTGGAAGATGGGTCCCCAACCCCTGGTCCATGGACCGGTACTGGGGCCATGGCATGCCAGCAATCGCACAAACAAGCAAGGCCCCATCCGCAGGATGCAGGCAGTACACAAAACCACACACTCTCCAGTCCATGAAAAAACCTCTCTGCATGGAACTGGTCCCTGGTGCCCAAAAAGTTGGAGACCTCTGCTTT